TGGTCTCTGTATTTGTATCAGATTGTGTTTTTGTCTGTTGAGTTATGCACAGTAGAGGATTATTATGCATTTTTCAGTATTTCAGAGGTGGTGGGAATAGGTGTTTTGTTTTAAATTGTTAGTTGTTAATGATTCTTACGCGGGATATATTGACAGCCTGCCATAAAATGTTAGTTACAGTGCAGCCTTGAATCCTAAAGCAGATTCCAATGGTAATATATATACTAAAAATAAAATCACTGGGATCTGAAAATAAAAATATCAGCAGTATTCCTCTTAGTTGCAGTCCAGACTCTTAGAGATGATGTAAGCCACAAGTGGTGATGATATAATTAGAAATATGAGTTTACTGGATTTTTCAGACCTTTTTGGGAAGTTCAGAAGAGTGTGTACCTGCTTTGGTTTGTTCCAGGTTTTCACTTTCCTGATTACAAAACCAATTAATAATCATCTTGAGTTGGGAAGCAAGAGAGGAAACGCATCTACTTCATGCAAAAAATAGTTACATTTCACAGAGATGAGCTGATGACTTCTTGCTTCTCTTCTGAAATCCTCAAGGTGGCAATCTTGCATCAGAGCTAAGTGTATACGGTTGTGGGTTTCTTTTTTTTTTTTTTCCCTGCTGCTGAGTCTTTTATATGCTGTCCTTGTGGTGGCAACAAGCACTTGCTTGGAGTGCTGCAGAATATACTGCTCTCAGTTGTGTAAATGCTCCATCTTGCACGTAACTTGGATACAGACCATCTTTCATTGACTTGTGCAGTCTTAAATTCGGGTGTGGTGGATGCAACAGTGCATTTATCCCTTGGGTTGGTAGTTATGAAAATAAGCACAGAGATAACTAGCTATGATTCACTAGATTAAAAGTTTGTCTCTGTTTTTATTCAGCAGTAGCATTTTGGGAGATGTGGAGCTTCCCTGTAAAAATGGCTGTGAAAACACATCTTTCAGTCACAGTAGTTATGTGTGTTCAGAAGACTTTAATTACATCATTTTGCTGTTGTGGGCATGAGATGTAATGGAACGTTGACCTACACTCCTTTTGATTTTTACCGTTAACTTTAATGGGAAGCTGATTAATTTTTTATGTTAGACTACTGAGCCAACTCAGGCTATCAAACAGTTGATGTGATGCAGTCTGCATTGTGTACAGATTTTATGTTGGCTCTGTAAGTACGTGGCTTTCAGACAGAAGCTTTTTTTCCTGTCGTGCAGAAGAAAGGGCTGAAGTTCTTCAGTTTTAATTTTTGCAGGAAAGGATTTTCGTAACTCTGAACTTAGCAAATAGCAGACATGCTTCAGACCACTTGCAAGGAGCTTCATTCCCAGTCCTCACTAGCTCTTTTGTTTAGGGGAAACAAAATCTATAAGTCAGGGACTGGTGCTATTTCTTCTCCAGGTGTTCAATGTGGAACTCAGCATGTCGATGGCTCTCAGAAAACTGCCCTTTTGCTGCAGGTGCCCAAGTAGCTGCTCTTTGCCTCCTCTATATGGGAGGATGTGATCAGTGCTGTTCCTGCTGTCATCTGTTTGTCTTTCAAGGTTCTCACAGAATTCAGCCTTTGCTTGCTCTTTTTACATCTTGAGGAACATTTTCTTTTGTAGAAAAGCTGAGCGGTGTGTGTTTCGTTGTTGGCAAGTCAATAGAGCAAAACAGAATTGGCCAAGGTGCCAGGGCCTGACCTGCACATGGTAAGAGTAGCAGATGTGAGGATGGCAGCTGTTGGCTGCAAAGTAGGTAGGCATGGTGCTTCAGCACTGCGGTAATCACAGGGGTAGCACACTTTGTGTTGAAAGGGACATTTTGAAATCATCTAGTCCAAACCCCCTGCAGTGGATGTGGGGTTTTGAGATGGATCTGTTTGAACTTTGTCCAAGTGTCATCAAGTTTCCAGGTATATCACAAAATGGTTTGGATTGGAAGGGGCTGTTAAGATCCTCTAGTTCCAACTTCCCTGCTTTAGGCAGGAACACCTCCCTCTAGAGCAGGTTGCTCGCAGCCCTGTCCAGCCTGGCCTAGAACACCTCTAGGGTGGCCCATCATCCTCAGTTCTCCTTGTCTTGTGCCTCACTGTATCCTGCTGAGAGAACCACAGAAACTGAGCACCTGTACTGTTGAGCTTCTGGGACATCTCCCATGCCTTCCATTGTCCAAGCAAAAGTGGTAGGCGATTGGATTTGATGGTCTTTGTAGATCTCTTTCAACTCAACTATTCTAATTCAAAACTTCCACAGTGTCCAAAGCTAACTGGAAGGGGAAGCAAGCCTTCAGTGAAGCACAGCTTGAGAGTTGTTTAGCTTCCAAAAATAACCAGTAGATGACAGTTTGCCTTGGGAGGCACCACCTCCCTGAGGAGGGTATTTGCGTTGGCTTAGGGAAATGTTAGTGTTAACGTTGAAGATTTGGCAGGCGGTACTTGCAGACACCAAATACTTCTCAGATGCGGGGTTTTTTTTGTCTTGAAAGCTGAATGTGAAAAACCAAGAGCCTGTTTAATTCACTTCTGAAGTTGTAGAGGAAAAATAGAAAAGGTCAAGAAATGAAAAAACTTGAGTTAAGCTGGAATGTTAATTTGGTTGTGCCTAGCGATTGCCGTTCCTCTTCTTTGTACGTCTTAAATGACTGGCTCTGTAGGGTTTTTATTTGGTCTCTAAATTAATTTGATGATTTCACAGATTTCTTTTTTTAGTCTTTTTTTAATAGTTTCTCTTATTACCCAGCTGTACAGTTGTGTTAATGGGTTTGGTTTGCATTCTCCTTGCAAAGATTAAAGCTGGTGGTGAGACTTCACAGCGTTAGTTGGCAGTTGTGAGAGGGTAAGTCCCCAGCAGACTTGTTTTCTGTCGGTTTTCAAAGCCAAGTGCTAACTCAAGCTGTACAGCATTTCCAGTTAACTAGCTGAGAAATGGACACGTCAATTCTGATAGCAGAGCTTGTCTTTCAAAATGCTCTGTCAGTATCTGCTGTGGACTCTATTGCTTTGAAAGAAAAGACTTTTAGACAACAAGGCCTAAAATGGTATGTAATGAAAGGGATCTGAACAGCTGAAATATCATCTTAATCTTCTTGTGTGATCTTTCTGGATTTCTGCTTCTGAGTAAGTTAATTTTTTTATTAGTATTCACTGTCACCACTATATGATAGTTAGCTTCTTATTAGTAACAAAGAGACATGTAAAAGTGCAGTACAGCCATCTTGACAATGATAGTCTGTGGAGTTTGATATTTTTCTATATTCAAAGAGGAAGAGGACTGTCTGAGTGTTCTGAGGTGATGTGGCCAGGAGGAGGCAGCTGCCAGGGGTGCCTTTGGCCAGCTGCTGTCTGTTCCCCAGCTGAAAGTTAGACCTGTGAGAGCCCGTCCTATAGCAAACATTGATGTGAGGGGGAAAAAATTGAGAGTAGGAAAGACAATTTCTGAATATTTAGATTTGTTGCTGAGGAAAATGTGCATAAAACTGTTGTCACCATCTCATATTTTTACCAGATAAATCAATAATTTTAATTGTATGCCAAAACCTGTGTCAGTGCCGGAGCGATGTGGTAATAAACTCTGTTTTGTGGGATCCTTTGCTTTGGAGTGCTCCTGGAAAGCAGAGAGACTGTCTGTGAGCAGCGAGGAGATGGTGCAGCCTATGGCAGTCCCAGGGCTGGGAGGCCCCTGTCTGCATCCAGCAGGGAGGTCACCACCGAACATTTTCCTCTCTAATTAGGATGTTGAAGTACTTAAGCTGTGGGGCATTTACGTGAGAGCTTCTGATTATTGTTTGTTGAAAGGCTCTGTTAATGAAGCAAAGGTGAAGTCAGTTTCTGTTGTGAATAGCATTGAAAACCTAATTTAAAGGTTGTATGGAGAAATCAGCTTGGAAGGCTTGCAGAAGATTCTACCAGAATATAAGCTTTTCTGTTCTTTTCATCAAGATGTTTATTACATGCTGCTGAGAGACTAGTCAGGAGAATCTAATCAGGGGCTGCAGTTTCTCCTTTGCTGGGCCCGCTCTGGAGGTGCCTTATCCAGGTGTGTAGCTGCAATGCCCTGAAATGCTTACAAGTGTAACATTGGGAACCATAGCTACAAGAACTTGAGGAAAACTGTAAGCATGGCAAGAAACAAGGTGATGTTTCCTATTCTGAAGGGCAGACTGAAGTGCAATTACCAACAAATTACTGGTTTTCAATCTTTGCAGTTTGCTTTTTGGTCTCACTGTTAAGCTGATTGATTCTAGCATCCTGCTTGGGGAAGCCTGATTATTTAAAAAAAAAAAAAAAAGAAAAACAAAAAAACAAAAAAACTTTCTGCTTTAATAAGAGACTGTTTCTGTCCTCAGTAGTTTAATTCCCTGCTCTGCACGATTCGTTTGCATGAGTAGCTCCATTGAGTCCCAGAGGTCTTTGCATTCAGACTCTCAGCGTTGGCACAGATGCATAAACCAGCCTCTAGTTTGTGCTAATTCACAAGGCAGACTTATTTTAGACTCCAGCCTTTCAGGGTGTAAACGTAGCAGTTCCAGACTTGCACATTTTGTAGCCTAAGCTTCTCTCTGTGTGTCTGATGCTAAACTGAAGTTATTTTAAGTGCGTGTTATGTCTATAATAGCTTACACTCTTATTATTGCATGTTAACCATGTTTTTATGTGCTGTAGTGCTAGTAATCAGCTATTAAAATTCTGTATTGAATATTCTGCAGACAAAAAATACAATTAAGAAATTTTCTTGTTTTACTTTGAGCAATATTTTACAACGCTGATTTTTCGTTTTCTGCCCCAAATAAGGGATGCAGTGTTTTTAATTGGAGCTGAGACTGGGGAGGTCCTGAGGGGGAACTGAGTGGCACAGGGCTTGCACTCCATCCTAAGTCCTTCAAGAATCTTACAGAGTTCTCCTTACTGTAATGTAGCATCTTGTAAATTATACAGAGTACAGTGGCTCATTAAGTTTCATATAGTGTTTTAATTCAGTTATTGCATTTGACATGGTTTTTTTTTTTTCTTCCTCAATAGGAGCAGGCAAAACACCGACTTTGGGAGGAGGATTCCATGCGAATCTGGGAAAGGAGTCACGAGCACAGACTCTACAGAATGGTACTTGCAAGCTTTTAATTCTGTTGAAGTGACTTTTTTTCCTTAATTAACATGATTGATTGCAATAAATTTGTAGTTTTGAATGTGACCTCAAAACCTTGGGAAGCCACTTGCTAGTCAGTAGTAGACAAGTCAGCATAGTGCTGATTTTACATTGTGCTCTCATTTGGTTGCCATAGCTGATTTATGAGGTCAGGTAGCTGGCTGACAAAGGGTAATGACACTTTACAGTACTATCAGAGTTTAAAAGAGCTTTTTCAAGGTTGATGTGCCCATTGCACTTTTTTATTCTTTCTTAACATACTGGGGCTTTATATCAAATTTCAGGGTTCCTGTGGTGCTTTATGCATGTTTATTTTTAACTATGAGTGCTCATATGCTTTTGTTTTTATATAAGAGCGAGGCAATGCACATATAGTAATCACATACCTTATACACTTAAATAGTAATTGCATTCTTAATATGTGACTCTTGAACTGAGAAGGGAAATATGGAGAAAGGTTTTGGTGTCCAGAGAATGTTTATGTTCTCGTTACATGCTGTACATTTCAATTGAAATCTTCATGTACACTCTTCAAAGAGAATGAATAAAAACAACTTGTATTCCAGAAATGGTCTTCCAGTTTCTTCCAATTTGCTGGTGTTTAACAGTGGACAGGAGTTGTCTTTTTTTTTGATAATTAATATTCTTGTTTCATAACTCCTGGAGATGACAGCTGATGGACTGTCATATCAAAGATGCAAGAGCTGGTGTGTAATTGAGCAGGGGATGTAATAGCACCATATCAGTAAAACTTCATTTTGGGGGGGTATTTTATATAAAGGCATTTTCTTCAATTCGAATCTTTAACATTATAACTAAAACATAAAAGGTCTTGGTTGATACTGTGTCTGCATAGATATTGGATCAGTGTTATGCTTTCAATATTCTATCTGCATCATTACAGAAATGGTAAGATTGATCTGCGGTATTGAAATATACTCAGATTGCTTTGATCAGCCTTATGCGGCTGTTTGGTATACAGACTGTTTTATTCAGCTGTTTGTACCAAGTATCAAGCCCTGCTTGTTTGACAAAGTAAATCTCACGCTTTGTGAGCAGGTTTCAGTGTCATGTCTGAAATGGCTATGAATTCTGAGAGTATCTGTATCAACTGTATTAGTGGAATAAAACCACTAGAATACCTTTTATGGTATTAGAGTTGTCATCTCATGAAGGCATTTTAATCATAGCTGTAATTTTGTACAGGCATTTTAATAATAAATTGTCTGGTTGTGTGTAGGAGCTGCTCAGTTATGTGACTTTAATTGTAGAAAAATGAAATGCTGAGGTGAGAAAATGCTGTCATCTTCTTGGAGTGTGGGAATCATTTAAAAACCCATTTCAGTAACTGAAGTTAAACCAGATGTAGGCATTATTCTGGAAGCTAAACCTGCCTTCTTTCCTGGCTGAACTTCTGGAGATGTAATATGTCTGAGCATCTTCCATCATAGCAGGTTTTGTGTGTGCTGCACTTCTCCGGATCTCCTCATCGTACGGAGTGTATCAGCATCACAGAAAAAGATATTATAGTTGTTTGAAATGAAATTGTCTCCCAAACCATTCACAAAGGGGAAAATAATTCTTTTTAGCTTTACCTCTTTGAATCTCTTTACAGTTTTCCTTCTTTTGTGGCCATCCGTTATATTAAAAACAACAACAACAAAACAGTGAAGGCATTTGGTCTTTGATTTCGGAGGCCAACCTGAATTTGTCATGCTGCCAATCTGAGAAAGTTTGTTTCCATGAGCAAAGCAGTGCTCTTCTTTAGTCCTGGGCACTACAAGAGCAGCTGCAATTGCAGGTAGAGCAATTGGGGTTTGAAACACCCTTCCTTCTGCTGCTCTATAATGAGCTAGTTGTCTGCTGCATTTAAATACATTTTTAGCTTTATGTAGTTCTTAATTGCAAATTGAGCTGCGACAGTGAGATTATAGAATCTCACCCTGTCACTCTGTGCCCATGATCGTGATGTTTTTAGAAATTACGTTAATATGCATTGTATTTACACTTGGAAGTATAGCAGGGTAAATGAACTTGCTGTATATTTCTAAAAGAAAATGTGTGAGGTTGTTCATTGTGTAAAGCTGAGGTGCACTGATAGATGGCTGTATTAAAAACAGCTCTCCCTGGAGTACTGTGCTGATCAGAAGAATTACCACGCTAATTATTTATTTACTGGTATTCTTGTGCTTGCACTGCCAGACTTCCCCAAGTTGCCGATGCAATGAGCTGCTCTCAGGATGGGTGTGCAGCGCGGCTTGTAAGCACCCTTCCCATGGCTTCCAGGAGCTCTGTTCCTTGGGATCCACGGCTGATGCTTAGGTCAAGGCTATAGGTCAGTGTATACATGCTCTGTTTTCTTCCGTGTGGCGCTCTGCATAGGTTGCTGCTGAAAGGAAGAGCCAGACAGGGTGGGAAGCAGCAACGGGCGGCGGAGCTCCGGAGGTTGTCCCCAGTGTCTGAGAGCAGCTGGGAGGCGTGTGTGTGGTCTGGGAGTGCTGGCAGGTCTCTGAGCGTGCCTGCTCTGCTTGCCAGCAACCTGCAAGCTTGACATGATCCGGGGAAAAGTCCAGCAGAGAAGCAGGAACTTGTTATTTCTTAGGAAGAAAAAACTGCAGTCCCCCTGCTACTTTCCCTTCCTCCTCCATGTAGCTCGGGCCAAGTTCTTCCCATCTGTAATGTCTGTCTTTTCAGGGGAGGTGAAAGGGAGGTGGTTTGGCCTCACTGTCTCTTATTTAATCACTAGTAAAGCAGCTGGGTTGGCTAAATGTATGATGCTGCTGGTTTTTAAGGCTCGTAATTAAAAGATGTTTAGGATTAGATGAAAAACAGTTTTTCATTAGAATACCTAAAGTAATAATTTATGTGAATTTTTTCTTATCCTTTCATTTGAAAGTGAAGAAATGCCACAGTAAAATCACCGTACAACTGCTGAACACTTCCAGGCTTTTCTGCAAAACCATTATTTTGTGTGTTGATATTTAGGTGTATGCTCTCAGTACAGCCATGGGCAAACCCTTAAGGTTTCGCAGTTTCCAGGCGTGTAAGGATGTCTGTACACAGAGCCAGTCTCTGTAACACACATGTCTTTACTTTCTTTTTCTTTGTTATTTATAACTGTGGTGATGCCTGGCAGTTTGTATTCTCTGCCTTTCTCTACTGAACCAGCTGATGTTTGTGGGAGTTTGGTTGGGAATTGGCTGCAGTTATGAAAACGGGAGTCTTGTTTATACTTGTTAAAATATGTATGTAAGGAAGGCCTAATACTGTTGTGTTTGTTCATTATCAGTTTGGTTTCCAGTGTGCTGTCCCGTGCTAACTGAGCGTGTGACGCTCCACCAGTTCCCTAATTTCAGGCCCACAAAATGGTTCACCTCTGCTCCTGTAAAGCTCATTTTTGCTGTAAGAGTCTGCACATCCATGAGATGGTACGAAGAGGTTTTTCAGCTTGCTTTATAAGTCTTGAAAAAATAGCCACAAGGTGCTGTTTCTGTGAGAAAGTAGAGTTACAAATAAAATACCAGCTCAGAGAGGGGACCTGTGACAAGACTTCTTTCTTTGTTGTCTGGGCCTCTTCAAATTGCTGTAGTACTGCCCAACTTTTATGGGTACTTACAGGGCTGAAATTGAGAGTTCTGTCTCTTTAAATCTTATTTTACAGCTCTGTGCTACATTACATAACCTCTCTAAATAGCTGGTTTATTCTTGCTTCCTTGCAGGCAATCTGCTCTTGCTATATCCACGTCAGATCCATAGTTACAAGGGAGTTGTTCTTGACTTGGAGCTCTGATGCTTTCATTAGTCTTCAGTGGCCAAAAAGAAAAGGGAGAGGGGGAGGAAGGTCAATGGCATGATTATAAGTCGAAAGCTTCGGTTGCAGTTTTGGTTAAAACTAAGTTTGAAGATCACAGCTGCATCTAGCTTAATCCAATTTCTGAACTGTTGTATTGTGTTTTAATCATTTCTTTAAATGAATGTGTTTTCCCTTAGTCCTTCTAAATGCCAAAATGTAGCTACAGTATTTTAATTCTAAATGGGGAGGCATTTCTGAAGATGTTTTTAAATGCATTTTTGCCTGCTTAAATGTGCACTGTTTGCTTAATTCTTCCACGTTTGTTGTCATCAGCAATTTCGTAGCTAGTTTATCACAAGTGATTGTGGAGGATATACTTCCAACCAGAACTGTACGGTGTGAATTAGACCAGAACAATATATTACATGCATGAAGAACACATGTAGCCAAAGGAGAGAAGTGGAGAGCACGTCTTTATTTAACAAAAGTAAAGCAAGGGAGTAGAGGACAGTAGAATCATAGAATGATTTAAATGGAATGGATCTCTGGAGATCCACAGTCAAAGTGGTGGCTGTGAAGTTGCCTGGTGCAGCTGAGCTTTGAGTATCCATAAAGATAGATATGATGCAGTCTCCCTGGACAACCTGTTCTTAAGCTTGACCATTCTCAGTGAGAAGAATGTTTCCCTTGTGTTTAATGTGATTCTTACCTCTTGTCCTTTTTACTGTGCATTTCCAACAATTCTGTCTCCATCTTTGTGACCTCCCACTGAGTAGCTGAAGATGCCACTAATACTTTTCCCTTTAGCATCTCCTTTGAAGACAACAAATTCAGCTCCTGGCCTCACGTCATGTGCTCCAGTCTCCTAATCATCTTAACAACTCTCTGCTGGATTTGTTCCAATATGTCAGCCTTTCTCGTGCAGAGAAGTCCTGAACTGGACAGAGTACTCTAAGTATATTCTCACAGGCATTGACTAGGAGATGATAATCCCTTCTCTTGACCTGCTCACGATACTTTTAATAATGTATCTCTAGTATGGGGCAAGTATGCAGCTCTAGCCTTTGTCACTGCAGTTAGGTGCTGCAGTCATGTTCATCATTTTGTCCAGGAGAACTCCAGATCCTTTTCTGCCAAGCTGCTCCTTAGCCTGTTCTGTTCCCT